ATAATGTAGTTGTTCAGATGTGGTGGGAAATGGCTGAGGCTGAGATAGCCCTGAACTCCCAATCTTCCTGCTGTGTGCTGCTGCTCCCCTTTTAGGACGTGCTGGGGAATCAAAAACAGGTTATTTGCTAGGCTAGTCTGGAACTTTACCGCTTAGCTAGAGCTTCAGTACCCTACCGTTTCCAGGAAAGGTTTGAAATGAAGGTCACAAATAAAGCTAGAACAGAGAAAAGATCAGCACAGGAACACGGCACCATGAGGCGAATTAGTCACTTGTACTAGCTTACCAGGGTGCCCAGTAAATATTAATACCCACCATCAAGAACCTTCACTTCAAATCCCCTCACTCAAAATTCAAATTGACATTTTGCTTTCTGTAACATGGAGTCCAGCAAAATCAGGCTGACAGGCACACAAAGGAAACCTAAAAGCTGAAGAAAGGAAAATACACCCAGCACAAAAACCACAGAATGCCATCCTGGGCAAGAAAGGCCCCTCGCTGTCATCCTGAACAGAAGGCCATGCTTAAAGCAGGTGGTAGGAGAACAAACAAACACTAAGAGAATGAGACTGGTGTACTGCTGGGATATACTGCTAAATCCATACCAAGATGCTAAAGGAACTTGCTCCAGACCGTGTGGAGTCAGGCTGGACCTAGGCAAAACCTGTTTAGTTTTTTCCCCCTGTGCTTCCAATAGTCAATTTTTGCAAACACCTATCTATATCCAGCCTTGGCTCTCCCTCAAATTCCAGACCCACAGAAACCTATAATTCTTATCTCCTCTTGGCTGTCTCAAAAGCTCCATTCTTGGCATCCAACACTGAACTTATGGCACCAGGATTTTTTTTTTCCCAGCACCTCTTTTTCTTCCAGTGCTTTCTTGTTTAACAGATGATGTTGCCATTCTCCATCCAGTTCCTGAGCCAATAGATGGAAGAATGGTATCCAATGACTGAACTCCAGTCCATCCACTTCCCAGCTGTGATCTTGGAAAACTCAATAATGCATATCAACGTACACCTTAACCTTTGTCATCTAAAATGGAAGTTAAAGTGTTATTCCAGAAGGCAGTTGTGGACACTGAGTTTATGTGCATAAAATGTTAAGTATATAGAAAATGTCTTTGTACATGTCGCTCTGTCTGCTTTCTTAGCTGTTCCCCACCCTTGCCACCTTACCTGGCTAATACCTCCATTATCCTTCCCACTTCAACTGTATGTTACTTCCCAAAGAAGCCTTTCGCATTCAAAGTGCAGCATACTTGTCATTAACATCATATACTATAACCATATATGTCAAACTTGTGATGGCTTGGTTTATAGTCATCTCCCACAATAGCCTGTAAGTCCCTACAGTGAAAGGCCTATTCATACCATATCTCATTTAACACGGTGTCTCATACTTTATAGGTGTGCACTAAGTATTTGTCAAGTGAGTACAAGAAGCACTTCTCAGCAGAAAGGAAGCCTAGAGATAAGAATACAAATCACCAATCCAAGTAAGGGTTCATGGCCTTGCTTCCATGGAGCTTGTTAGGAAGGGTCCAGTGAACCCCATCCTACCGCTGTGAAGCTGAAGATTCTTGTTAATTTGACCAGTGTTCTAACCATTCAAGATTTCGTCTCTACAGAAACAGAACATATTCTGCAGAAACCTAGAGGCCACACCTTTGAGAGTTTTGAGAGGAATCACTCCAATCCCATTCTTCTCCAATTTCTGTGATTCTAGTGTTTAAAGGCACATATTTTTATACCATGGGATCTCTAAAGCTCAGCCAAGTACTACATCTGGGGCTCAGCTGAAGAAACAACCTTCCATTCCAACTTGAAGGTAAAACTCATTTATATTGGCATTAAAAGGGGTCTTTTTTTTTGAGTTAGGGTCTTGAGTTATAAATTTGGTATTGAACTCTGTATACAAGGATGACCTTGAACTCCTGACACTACTGCCAGGTAAGCTAAGAAGAAACTGGATAGCATTATACCTGTGCCATAATATAACAAACTCTCAAGAATACTTTTGGATTATCTTTTCCAGTTCCCACCATTTACCTGCAAATTTCATGATTTCCTTGTTTTTTTTGATCATCCTGAGTGAGCTGTCCCAGAAGCAGAAAGACACACACAGTATATACTCACTCATATAGACATATAATATAGGATAAACCTACTAAAATCTGTACACCTAAAGAAACTAATCAAGAGGGAGAACTCTGGCTAAAATGCTCAATTTCTATCCAGAAAGACAAAGAGGATGGACATCAGAAGAAGGAGAAAAGAGGGAACAAGTCAGGAGCCTGCCACAGAGGGCCTCTGAAAGGCTCTGCCCTGCAGACTATCAAAGCAGATGCTGAGACTTGTGGACAACCTTTTGGCAGACTGCAGGGAATCTTAGGAAAGAAGTGGGAAATAGTAAGATCTGGAGAGGACAGGAACTCCACAAGGAGAGCAACAGAACCAAAAATTCTGAGCACAGGGGTCTTTCCTGAGACTGATACTCCAACCAAGGACTATGCATGGAGATAACCTAAGACCCCTGCACAGATGTAGCCCATGGCAGTTCAGTGTCCAAGTAGGTTCCCTAGTAATAAGAACAGGGACTGTCTCTCACATGAACTGATTGGCCTGCTCTTTAATTACCTCCCCCTGAGGGAGAAGCAGCATTACCAGGCTACAGAGGAAGGCAATGCAGCCACTCCTGATGAGATCTAATTGACTAGGATCAGAAGGAAGGAAAAGAAGACCTCCCCTATCAGTGGACTTAGGGGGGGCATGCGTGGAGAAGGGGGAGAGAAGGCGGGATTAGGAGGAGAGGAGGGAAGGAGCTACAGGGGGATACAAAGTGAATAAAGTGTAATTAATAAAAATTAAAATAAATAAATAAATAAGTAGATAAATAAATAAATAAAAAGAATACTTTTGGGATGAGGATGTAGTGCAGTAGTAGAGTTTTTCCCTGCCATGGGCAAGGCCATGGGGTCCCTGCCCAGTACCACATACATGTATACACACACACAGAGAGAGAGAGAGAGAGAGAGAGAGAGAGAGAGAGAGAGAGAGAAACGTGTTGTAACATCCAATGTTTGTTCATGATGCAGTCTAGCTTTCATGTAATACGGGACTCTAATGTTGAGCGAATTATTTGCTATGCAGGCTTTGATACTGAACTCTCCTAGACTCAAATTCTGGCTCTGCCACATGCTAGGTATGAATGAACTCTTAGACTTGTTGCTTGACCTTTCTCAGCCATCCATCTATATACTGATAGATATGGTACCTGGGGGCTTATGATTATAGGGAACATTAAATATATTGCAAATGGCTTAATAACTATCTTTTAGAGAGTTCTTTGCAAACAGAACACTGCTTTAAGATCAAGTTCTGTGCCATGTCTAACAGTGTCCTATGGCTAGAAGGCATTTACTGAACTCCAGGTTCTTCCTCAGACTCATTATTTTCCAAACCAGCATTCCACTTCTTTGTGGTAGTGTGGGACTCCACTCTTCTATTTTGAGTGCCTATGCAGAAATGGTCCTTCCTGGGTTCCACAATTGAAATATTAGACAAAACATCGCCCATTTCCTTCTGTCTTTCATGTTAAATAATAAATCTAACTTTCTGATAGTTTCTCCCATATACGTATGTATACATAAACACACATCTTTCTTTAATAATATACTTCTCCACAAAAGAACTTAGAGATACTATACAAAACAACAGCTATGAACATAGAAACAATCAGAGCTCTTTCTATGGAGGAAAACACTAAAGAATTAGAAGCTGAAACTATCTAAGCTATGGTGTGACCAGAAGAAACTAAATAGCATTATTATTATTAGCATAATTATATATATTAATATATATTATTAATAGAATAATTATTATTATGTGCCATAATATTTTGTATACATTACATTCAAACAGTATTAGCTGTTTATACTAACAGACCAATTGCTTGCTATCCAAATGGCATTGTCTGAGGCACTGAGAGAATACAGAACTGTACAGCTTTTCAAAAGCTTAATACATAATTGAAAACACACAGCAAATGGAAAACAATTGATTAGGTACTAAAAGAGTAATAGCAAAGAGTAAGGCAAACATGAGACAAGCTGCTTTAGAAAATGTGAAGCTTTCCTGAAGAAGGTGCTTCATGATTATGTAGATGAAGGGGTAGGGATGCTTTAGACACACTGAAGATCAAGAGCCAGTCTCTGGTGTATTCTAGAAACTGAAGGGGGATAGAAACAAGCAGAAAAGATTTAAGAAAATAAACAATCAAAGGAACAAAAAGTGTAGTGTTTTAATGAGGAGGTAGTTTTATAGCTTTCCTGAAACAAAAAAGCAATCAGTCATGCTCCTCAATTTGAAGACAATGACCTCTATTTGACAGGAGAGCAGAAGGACAGACTATTTAAGAGAAGGAAGAAAATCAGCAAGAAAGGATGTAGGGTACAGGAAAGGGTCGTGAGGGGATACAAAGTATGATATAAACGTATGAAATGTTACAGTGAAGTTAGGCATAGTAATCTATACTGCAATCAGCTCTTGGGAGGCAAAGGATCACCCTCAGATACACAGTTTGACACCACCTTGGTGAGACCCTGTCTTACCCTACCCAACAGAAGAAAAAAATGTTAAAATAAAGCCCATTACTTCATATAATAGCTGTATAATAATTAATAATTTTATATGCTATATTTCTTTCAGGATTTTCTTTATAAGATTTTTATTTTTTAAGTAAGGGTATGCATTTGTGTCTCTATGTGGTATATTCACATGCATACAGTTACCCATGAAAGCCAGAAAAGGGTGTTGGATACCCTGGAGCCAGTTACAATATGCTGCCTCTGTGGGTACTTGGACCTGAATGCTGATCCTCGGTAAGAGCAGCAAATGTTTGTAACTGCTGAGCCATGTCTCCATCCCTAAACGCCATATTTCCAAAGCATAAATTTTATTCCAAGTTTGTCACTGATGTATCCCCATATCATCACTTACCCGAATAAGAGATGCCTGACGACAAAGGGGTTTGGCTCCAGGACCCTCTGATGAGGGTCCTTCAGGCTGGACAATGGGCTGCCTAGTTTCATACGAAGCTGAAAAATAAGAGAGAATGCTAACAGGGTAACCAAAGATGCTATTCCAAAATTATCATTTCACACTCAAACTGATGTAGCATGTGCTTTTTAAGAAAATAGTAAAAAAGGAATTAGAGCATGTAATTTAAGAGATACATAAAACTCACAAATCCTGATGCTCTGACCTCCATAATTTCACTTAACAATCTAAAGGTATATAGCAAATATCACCATAAGACCAAAAGGATTCACATCAGGTTAAGATTAGGAATAAAGCAAGGGTGTTGGTTGAACAGTGAGAGCCCCAATTGACATTTAGAAAGAATGAGTCAATAGCTAGAAATGTGTTATATCACAAGTACATATTTTTTTTTTTTGTTCCTGTTCCTCGTGGTATCTTGAACTATGATCTGAAGTAGTGGAGCTCACTTGTGCGTTCATTCATGGTTTTATTTTTTTTTTTCATTCATGGTTTTAAAGGATGTGACCTTAGCCTAAAATGAATATTTGGTGTAAGTCAGATGTAAACAAAAGGCTGGTTTGAATAATCAGTACCTCCAGCCTTATAAACTGCATCTAGGGGCTGGCTGTACTTTGCCTGGATGGCTGGTGGGCTCTTTTTACTTCCTTCTTCTTTTCTTCTAGTGGGATGAAAATTGAAGCATCCCATTGGAGCCCCTTGGGTCCCCTATAACTTAAAAACTAATGAATTCAGATAACAGTCGCTACTTACCAATTTCATGCTATATTCAAACAAAGTCTACATTCATTTGGGGAGAGAAAAGTAAAAGGGGACAATAAAAAAAAAAGAATTAAGAAAGAAAAACTCAACTGTATGTCAAGTAGAAAACTCAGGAAGCCAGAATAGTATTTCCCCCTGCTTGACTGTGCACATATTATCCCTCCAATTAAGTATAGAAACTATACTGAAAAAAATTATGGAACGGGAACTGATTCTGAGACTGTAGTGCGCTGCCTATTTGAGGTAGGCTGAATGCTTATACATATCATCTATACCTGTTAAAGGGTATTTTATTTCTAATGCTTGTAGGCTTTACCTGCATTGTGCCTGTACAACATGTGTGTGCTGGGTGCCCATAGAAACCAGAAGAGGGTATTGGATCCCCCGGAACTGGAGTTATAGAGAGTGGTAAGGTTCAGTGTGGGTGCTATGAACTCAACCCAGGTCCTCTGGAAGAATAGTCAGTAATTAACTACTGAGTAATCTGTCCAACCCCAAAAGGTAATATTTTAAATGAAGAACTTCCTTTGTAGTCCGTGCTTATGAACATTTTCTTTTTTCATTTCATTTATTTATTTATCTATCTATTTATTTTTATTAATTACAGTTTATTCACTTTGTATCCCCCCTGTACCTCCTTCCTTCCTCCCCTTCTAATCCCTCCCTCCCTCTTCCCCACCTGTGTCCCTCTCCCAGCCCACTGATAGGGGAGGTCCTCCTCTCCTTCCTTCTGATCCTAGTCTATCAGATCTCATCAATGCAGGACTGGCTGCATTGTCATCTTCTGTGGCCTGGTAAGGCTACTCCCCCCTCAGGGGGAGGTGATCAAAGAACAGGCCAATCAGTTCATGTCAGAGACAGTCCCTGCTTATGAACATTTTCAATGGGAAAAGGGAAGGAGTTTCCTCAAATTTTTATTTTGCAATGGACTGTTTGTTTTTTAATTAAGTTTCCTGAGGACTAGAGAGATGACTTGGTGGTTAAAGTACTATTTGCTTTTTCAGAGGACCCAGGTTCAATTCCCAGCACCTACATGGTAGTTCACAACCACCTATTACTCTATTCCCAGGAGATCCAATGCCCTCTTCTGGCTTCCACCAGCATTTGGTGAGTAGACATACATACAGGCAAAACACTCACACACATAAAATAAAAATAAAGTTTAAAAAAATTTTAATAAAAATAAAAGTCTTCTAATTATTTTAAAAATTATAGGAAGATACCAAAATCTAGTTATAATTTATAAATACCTCCCTATTTAAATGTATTTAATTTATCATATAACTCCCAAAGAAAATTAATATGAACTCTCAACACTAAAACTCAATATTATTGTTTATTATAAAATAAATGGTTATCTTCCTTATTTACAGAATGCAAAATAAAGTATACAAAAAATGAATGAATGTACTGTATGTTTATTATTCTAATAGTTAATAACCAAAATATTTTAAAGTAATTTTGCTACCTTTAAAATGTCTCTAAGCCATAAATAAATGATTACTATTCTTTATTCCTTTTATTTCCAGAACACATAATAATGACCTTGTCAATATGACAGCAAGACAGTTAAATATAACCAGCTCCAACAGAAAGGAGAAATTATTATCCAAAACGAAACCATTTCTCATTTGTGTAGGCTAACATTTTGAGAACTTAAAATATATAAATAAAAAACTTCCTAAAAATATATATATTGATTCTTTCTGTAGTTTACTTATAAATAAAATTGGGTGGAGAGCAGAGGTGGATGTTATGGCACCACATTTAGCATGGTTTGATCATTAAAATAAAGAAGCTACAATAATAATACATCAAGAGTGCCAAACAGAGCCAGGCACAGTGGTGCATGCCTGGAATCCCAGCACCCAGAGGCAGGTGGATCCCTGTGGGTTTGAGGCCACTCTGATCTACAAATCAAGTCTAGGACAGCCAAGGCTAGAAAAAGAAACCTTGTCTCGAAGGAAAAAACAAACAAATGAAAAAAAAACAAACCAGTCTGGGCCTAGAACCCCTATACAGGTGTAGCAGATGCGAAGCTCAGGCTTCATGTGGCAGGGTAAGCTGTCTTGAACATGGACTCTGCTTTCTGATCACCCCCTCCCCCCTTGGTGGGGCTGCCTCATCAGGCCACAGAAGAGGACTGCACTCAGTCCTGATCTGATGAAAAGTAATGAGCTGAGGGGGGGGGGTGAAGGGGGAACAGAAGAGAGGGGAGAGGGGAAAGAGGAAGGGAGGGTGTGACTGGAAGGAAAGGAGCGAGGGGGCTACAATCAGGATGTAAAGTGAATAGATAGATGATAGATAGATAGATAGATAGATAGATAGATAGATAGATAGATAGATAGATAGATAGATAGATAGATAAGTAAATAAATAAGTAAATAAATAAGTAAATAAATAAATAAATTTTTTTAAGAGGAAGGAAGGAAGAAAGAAAGAAACAAAGCAAGCAGCAAATCATTCAGGCTCAGTACTACATTTTGCATTTCTTCCTAGCAACTAGAAGACAAAATCATAACACATTAAAATATCTCAATGATTGCCTGGCAATGCATTTAGTGCATTTCAGAACCTACTAGGAGTAGATACAAATGTAAAATTTACAAAAAAAAAATTCATAGAGAGCACATAATTCAAGTCTTCGAAAGCAATTTTGATTTTGTAGGCAGGTATTGTCCTCTGACAATTAAGATTTTGTAAAATCATTCCATGTTGATGGAACCACATTAAACTCTTCATAGCAACTGAACCTTACCAAAAGGTTTTAAGCACAGTATGCTGAAGCATGGCTAAGAATCTAGTGTTCATGAGCTCTATTGAAACCCATGAACCTATACTTTCCATAACAGAAGAGACCCATGCGGGGAAGAGGGGACCATGTGACCCTCAGCTCAAATCCTTCCCCTATAGTGGTCTTAACATGGAGAAACAGATGTATTTTACCAGCCAGGCTTCAATAGAAACTCAGGTAGACAGGAGCTCACTTTGAAGACACAGACTTTCTTCTACTATGGGGAAAGGCTAGGCTGAACAAGGCTGCCTGTGGCTGGAAAAGTGGGTATCTAAATCAGCCATATATCTAAAGAATGTGCTCTGTTTAGCTACATGAGCAACAAAGCTGATAATCAGGCCAGCAGCAATCTGATTTATGGCTTGCTCCTCAACTGATTCTAAACTTAGAAAAAGGGTACATATTATTTCTTTCCTCATCTTCCTTCCCAAATGAAACCCAAAATACACAACTCAAAAGCAAACGAAATAACTCTTCCTTTACAAGAGGTTTCATATGGAAGTAGATGCATCATCTTTCTCCAAGGACAGGACTATTTAAAAAAAAAAAAAAAAAAAAAAAAAAAAACAAAAAAAAAAAAAACCTGATGATTTCATTATTCTGAAGTTTGGTTTCAAAGTGGAACTGTGGCTGTTTTTTACATACCTACCCAAAGACTCCACTCTGTGTCAGGTCAATGGCAATGTAAGTCACATGAACAATATTTATGGTATCCTTATTCATAAGAGCCAAAGGCTATAGATTATCCAAATGGTCATCAACAGAAGGACCACTAATCCAATATTATCCATGCAATGAAACCTACTGAATAAGAAAATAAAAGGAACTACCACTACAATGATATGGATTTTGACTGTTATGTTGAGAAGACAGCAAACAGCAGTAGAATCAGAACAGTGCTGCATTTCAGGTTAGGGTGTGGCTGGAAAGGGGCATCTGCAGGGCAATGGAAATGTTTTTTTCTCTCAGTGGTAGCTAAATGAGTATATCCATTTGTTAAAATCCCAATTAAATACTTAAAAGATGTGTATCTTATCATACACAGATTTTACCACTTTAAAAGAAAGCATAAAAAGGAAGGAGGGCATCCAGAGCCTTGACATCAACCCTCAAAAGTCCAGAAAAGAGGGACGTGAGCTGCCTCTTCAGTGCTGCAGGGATAGGAACCCACTTAGGATAGGAGCAGAAAATAGAAAGTAAAGGATACAAACAAGGACTGTCAAAGGTAGAACTTAATGATAGACTGACTTAACAGTACACAAATGGATTTACCTGTGTACTAAACATTAATTTCTAAGCCCAAATTAGATTTGAAACAGAAGAAGCAATTCCACTCCATTTACAAAGGCAAATCATGCAAAGGAAACTACAAGAGAAAAATAAATTCACAACCTTTGCTGTGTAGTTTCAGACACCAATGAGACAGGTGATTGTCAGGAGGGTTTTTGTTGTTGTTGTTGTTGTTGTTGTTTTTTCAATACTATCCATTCGGAACACCATCTTTGCATTGCACAGGATGTAATTCCTAAGTGAGTTTATACTCATGTTCCCACTGAATCTTCCTAACACCCTCACCACTATTTTAAAAGAAAAAAAAATATGACACACAGAAGCTCAGTGGCTTGCCTAAAGTCGCCCAAGGGCCCTCTCAATGCCAACCTTCTGGTTCTGACTGAAAGCTCTTTCTATCACATCCTTCCTACTTCTCTTGGCAAAAGGACAGCTTCTCTTTAGTTCAGCCTGGCATACCTTTTTATATCTGTGACCCTCTAGAAGTCACCATTTTTTTCAGTGCAGCAAAATATTACAGAAACTGGGTGATTTCTACAATGTCCCACAAATTGGGCAGGGGGCTATAAGACATCCTACTCTACACTGGTCACACCCGAAACTACACATGTGAACCACACACGAGCACAGTGCTGCAGTTAAATTACAGAGTTTCACACATTGCAGTCTGGGCAGCCAGCTCTGCAAGTCATCCTGAGAACCAACTCATATATTTTACACCTGAAATGACCAGAAGAACGTAAATATGAGCAAGCAGACAGCCCCATAACGGTGCATGCTTCATGTTTCTCAGCAAAACACTATCCCTGGAATTTTCTTTGTCCTTATCCTAAAACATAAAAGCTCAAAATTTTCATTTATGCCCCCAATCTTTAAAGATCGGATCAACTCTTTTGCTTTTTGGGTAGTTATATTTTTAAAGAATTGTCATAAAAGCAGTTACTGAGTAAATATGTTTAGTGTCCTTGCAGAAGGGAATAACAATTCTCAAAAAATGCAACCCTCCCCCTTAGCATGGTACATTCTTTTAGTGAATTTTGTACATAAATATTAAATCATCTAAATAGTTGTTTACAAGTCTAAAGATGAACCACCTTCCAGATTAGGAAACAAAGCATTGTGGAAATATGCTTAATTTCATTAAAAAAAAAAAAAACTTTGAGAATATACAATGAAATTGAACCATGTTTCCAAAGACAGGAGTAATTAAATCAGGAAATTAAGCAGCCGGCAGCATTGCTCCCTGGTAGATTAAGGAGACTCTAAGACTGCCTGTGACAGCTGGCCCCCTGTGCACCTCTTACCTGGATACATCTGTTCCGTGCTGCTCCGCAGTTTGCTGTAGCCATGGCTCAAGGACACCCTCTGGTAATGAGGCGGGGAAGAAGGAGGGGAGGCGAGGGGTGACATCGTGGGAGACAGTTTTTCCTGCTTCAAAGAACCAGAGCAGAGTTCAGAGGCAACCACTACAGAAGCCTGGCATTCTGAGCTGCAGTTTAAGAAGCAAATTTGTGACTTCTACAGCTGGTGACCTGGCTGATTTAACAAATGGGGAGAAATGTTTCCTTCGAAATGCAGCATAGCAAAAAGGCAGTATCAAGGATTCAAAAGCCACCCGAAAAATACAGTCTCATCGGTGCTGTGCTACCTAAATTACCAATAGCAGCCTGAAACGCTTTCAGTTAGCCCAATAATATTTTCCTTTGGAAAATGAAAGATACTGATCACATGGGAGAACATTCATAACCCTCAATTGTGGACCGATTTCATTTTCATTCAATTAATGAATTAATGAGTCTTCCATTTTAAGACTCCTATTTATTGAATTTGTATTCACCAAGTATAAATCCAAAAAATGCAATAAAATTTATGTTTTAAATGTTTAATGGTGGGTATTCTTGGAGCTTATTATACAAAATTAAATGTTGGGAGAGTTGTTTGTTTTATATTGAGAGACTCCAAAACATAACCATCCCATCTAGCATACTCCAAAATACTAAGAGGAAGCCTTCACAAATACAATTGGAATCTCAACTCTATGAACCTGCTACAGGGCTCTAGGCCAAATAAGCAGCCTGAGCCTGCTGCTGGCTTTCCTCCACCTCTTTTTTTTTTAAGTACTACCAATAGACTATAAGCATGGAGTACCCAAGGAACAGGAAAATTATGCTTTTTATAACACAGAGACTATATTGGATTCTTCAATTTAAAAACAAATATGTGATCTGAGATACAAGACTATAGCTGGAAACTTCCCAGGGAATATATCACTGTGAGACACTGAATCCTCAGTCCTCTCCAAATACATATATCGAAGTATACTGACTACAAATTCCTGTGTCTCTCTAATACACTACTTAAATGATTAAAGTAACCTTGTGTAGAGTTGTTTAACAAAATGAGCTACACCTCTTTTAACTATAAACAAAAATTTTAGCCAGGCATGATGAAGTACACATGTAATACCAGAATTCACAAGGCAGGAAAACCACGTCTGATGCCAGCCTGGGCTACATAGATAAACCCTGTGTGAAAAAATAAATAAACCTGAAACCTTTAATGCCCAAAACCAAAAAGTAAACCATGTAAGCTAATTTCTTAATATAACCTTTTAATATTCATTGCATTTTTAAAACACCTTGATTCTCCCTAAAATACAGCATGTTCCTTTACCTTACAGAAGACACTGTTGAATATAATCTGACTTCTCTGTATGTCTCTTTATCAGAAGGATGAGTTATATCATGATGTCCTTGGGGTTTACTAATATGCAGACTGATTCCTGCTGATAGGCCCACACTAATGACATCCTTTTGTCCTATTAATCACCACCTGATGTCTGTAATCAGTGGCCTGATTTTAAAAGCCCATCCTCCCTACTCTGGTTCCAAGCCTGTGGGTGATAGCATTTACAGAGATGCCATTACACATATGTTTCCCAAGAAAGGATTCTCTGATTAAAAAAAAAAAAGTTTGGTTAACACAGATGTCCAGGTCTCTTTACAATAGGGCCTGCCTGTCCATGTGCACTCTTAAGTTTCCAAGGCTGACTCAGTCTTTCCCATAAGAATGGGACATGAGGACAAACTTTCCAATCATTTTTAATCAGAGAATCCCTTTGGGGCTTCTTTTTGGAGGGGAGCACTTGCTAACTCCTAGAAGTTATATTTCATCTGTTTGGTTTTGGCTTTGTTATTTGTTTCCATGTTATTCTGAAAGTTACATGTCAATGATCCCATTTAGAAAACCACCAACCTAGAGAAAGCAAATAAGCATATTAAATCAATAACAGCACTATTTGACGCACAATTCTACACCAAGGCAGATTCTAAAGGGACAGTGGGTGGCTAGCAGTAATTCCTATGTGTCAGCTTCTTCTTGCTACAAGAAAACTTTCCAGGTCCACTTCCAAATCTGTAATTACATTCCAGATGGCAAGATTTGCTGGCAGTTTGGCAACAGACAGAGGCTGTGCTACAATGAGGCTTCACAGGCAGAATCAAATGAATGTTCCGAATCAGACTCTCTTACCTGTTTAGTCTCATCATCCATTCTTTTGAAGGAATTTTTTTCTGTGGTTAAGTATGGAATCTGAACCTTCATTCCATGATGCTCAGCTGGGTTCCCAAACCGTATGTCACCATCACTCTTTGACATCACAAAGCGAGGCAGAGGCAGTTCTTTAGAAGCAGAAGTAGAAATGCTTAAGTGAAGCTTTAACTTAAAACTGCAAAAGGGGGAGCTCAATGGCCAAAAATAAATCAAGTTTAAGGGAAAATTCCAGAGCACTAAATATAGTTTAAATTTTAGTTCAGGTACAATGAAGCCTCCTTATAATACTGTCATGAGACACACACACAAAAAAAAAAGTAATGCTCTAACCAAGGTATTCCAGCTTTAACATTTTCCATGCTGCTAAATCATCACAGAACAAATTCACGTTTGGGACTAGCTCCCACTTGATCTTGAAAAAAAAAAAAAGGGATGTGAATTTTATCAAAACACGAGGCAATGATAGCAAGCAAAACTTATAAATGCTTAAATACACCAGACACAGTGTTAGGGGACTGCAAATACCAACCCATTAATCTTTACAGCAATCCTGTAAGATAAACTAGCATTAGAAACTCCCTTTACAGTTGTGGAAACTGATGTGAAGAGGCTACATAATGTCCTCCAGGACCACACAACTCATCTCTGGGCAAGACACAGTTTGAACCCAAGCAAGCCAGTTCTTGCCAGTGCCCTACATTAATGTCTTCCCTTCCTGGGGCAAATTTACTGGGTTGACTAGTTTTCCACTCAATATAATTCTTTTATGGATTTTCACACTCAATCTCTGTTTGCCTGTTGATAACATAATGAAGAAAGTGTTATTAAGTCACAGCAACTGTTCTAACATTTAGACAGATTCTAAAGGCAAAACCATTGGCCACTCACAGTGCGAAAAAGAGCCTCCTACAATATTTACTTATCTTTCAAAATCTGACAAAACTATTCTGAAAATGAAAATGATTCTTTGGCATGCTTATAGTTCTCAGCACAGCAAGTCACACACAAGCACATGACACAGAGATCCACACAAATAAGAATAATGTAGTGGATTAGGCATAATGATTTGCATCTGTAGCCATTGTTCAGGCTAATTCCCAATATGCCTATGCACTTCTGTCATCCCTCCACTCCAAAAACACAGCTGTGCTTCCAATGATGGATGCTGTGCTAAAGCCAGGAAACATCTTAGCAACAGCAAGTATGCTACACCCCAGACAAAGAAGGCCCCTGGTTCTCTAATATCCACATGTTTATTTTTAGTTGCTATGTCCACATTTGATTCAAAGAGGTGGGCAATCATGATAAAGCCCTGTGTGATCGATCAATCAATCAGCTGAGGACCCAAGAGCCATGAATAGATAAATCTGAAAACTTAAAGAAAGATGGTCACCATTCTTAGCGTTTGAATTCCCAACCATGGGCATCTCTCCAGCACTGAAGGCGGAAATAGATTTCAAAAGGAAAAAGGTTAAAGAAACTCCAGAGTCTGGGTGAGTCACACAGAAACCGGTCCTGTGGCTCTGTTCACAGAAATATCTCTTTCACTTAGGTGTAGAAATATAGGACAAAAGCATACAAAGGACTTTCTACTCTGGTCTGCCCATGAGAGTTTAAGTCTACTTCAAGTATTTCTTCAAGAAAAAAATCAAGATGCTTGGTATTTGTAAGTTCCCTGGCCAATCCATTCTGTCCAGAGACCAATGGAATACAAGTGTTGCATTACAAATATTAACAGCTGTTCCAGGATTTCCAGATACCCTTAAGGATACTGTCACTTCACACATTCCCTCCACTTTGGCTATGGCACTTCTCCAAAATCATTTGCCTAGGAAACAGACTTTCGCCTCCAGATGGCCACCAAATAGTGAAAGACAAAATACAGCTGAATTTTTCCTGTATTTTCTTCAGTCCTGTGATTTGAAACAATTCTCACTTAGCAGAATTATAACCATATATCTTATCCTTGGCAACTCTTGACAGTATCATTCTCCCTGAAGCTGCTACAACTTATTAAAAAGGGAAAACTGTAAGTCTTTGGTCTGAATATTCTTTTGTCATCTGTACCCTGAACTTGATAGTGAATCTTTATAGAAACTTACTCAGCAAAGCACCTACTATACAGTGATGTGTGCCAAGTGATCACAGAGGATCTTTTTGTAGCAGCTTCTTAGAATTAATCCCCCGATCTGAATTAAATTAACACATGGAAAAAATTACAAGGACCAAATGTTCTTAACTGCTACAGACCCCTAGAAAAAAATTTAAGTGAGGAAGCTAGGAAAATTGCTCAGTGGGTAAGGGCACTTTCTCTGCAAGCATGAGGACCGGAGCAAAAAAGGTTACCGAAAATAAATAAATAAATAAATAAATAAAAATAAAAAACAAACTCCAGAGTCTTAGTGAATCACAAACAAGCCAATCCTGTGACTCTCTCCACAGAGAGTTGTATCTTTCAGCTCAGTCTGCAAAATGGACATAAAACATAGGACAAGAGTAATACTTTCTACCTTGGACCAACCATGAAAAGATAACTTGACCTCAAGTATTTCTTCAGGAACAAAAGCAAAAAGATGCTTGGTATTTGTAAGCTCCCTGGCCAATGCATTCGGTCCAGAGAACAATTGAATACAAGTGTTGCATTACAAATGTTAACAGCTGTTTCAAGATTCCCAGATACCCTTAAGGATACTGTGACTTCACACATTCCCTCCACTTTGGCTATGGTACTTCTCCAAAATCATTTCCAATCCCCAGAACCTGTATAAAAACCTGGATGTGTTGTGTGTGCCTGTAATTCTAGCACTGTGGAAGGAGAGAAGGGTATCACAATAGATGGCTGGCCAGCCAGTGCAGCTCAAAGAGCAAGCACTCTCCAGTTCAATAAGACACCCTGTCTCAAATCAATAAAGTGGATAGCAATACAGCATGACAGATGACATGGACCCCCAGTTGTATGTGTATAGGTGTGTACACACAGACATGTACATGCAACACAGAGAGAGAGAAAGAGAGAAGGAGAGGATGGGGAGACCACAAAAAAAAGAAAACAAAATCAAAGTGAAATAAGTTGGTCACAGAAAACAACTACTCTCATGATTCCACTTACAACAAGATTAGTAAAATACATACAAGGAGAAAGCTGCAGAGTGGTTTCCAGAAATAAGGAGTGATGGGGGAAAGGGTAGTTATTTAATCAGACTTTCCATTTTACAAGGTGATGTGGGAAATTTTGGGAAACTGCATGTACAACAAAATGAATAGACTCAACACTGCTAAATTCCACATATAAAATGGTTAAGATGGGAAATTGTGTGCCCTACGAATTTTGTAACAAGAATTTTTAATTTCAGATGAAATTTTAAGAGGTCAAATTAATTTTAGCTATTGTAACCCCATATCATTATTTCAACATATAGCATAAAATGATGAAGGAGGTTGACATAGGACAAGGGCATGAGTGCTTTGCCTAGATGTTCAAGTCTCTAGGTATGATTCCCACCACAGCCAAAATATAAACATCAATCAATGAAATACCTCAATACTTGTCACACTTTAAGTATTCAGGAGATGTGCGTGGCTATTGGCCACCATACTGGAATGGATAAGCCACAAGGAAAGGTGGGTCACTATGCCCAGAAATCTGTATCTTACTAGGCACAATTATAATGTTAAATGCCAGCAAGTAAGTGAGTTTGTCTCAAACAATATGAAAGATATTATATAAATATGTATAAAATAAAATACAAAAATATTTTGGATGTAGTTATACTTTATACAAATCAGTAAAGTACAGCATTTGAAGAGTTCTGACTCACATGTATATGTGTATATGTCAGAAACAGGATGGGGAAGAAGAACAAATACATAAATTAAAACACAAAGTTTTCTTTCAAGTTCTTTTCCAGTCCCCTCACTCCTTTTCCCCACTGTCAGTGTGTAAGCTCCAGAACTTTTACGAAATAAAAGAATCAAAGATAGGCCAGCAAGATGGCTCAGTGTGCAAAGATGCTTGTCACCAAGCCTGACAACCTGAATTTTATCCCTGGGACCCATGAAGAAAGAAACAACAAACTTTTCAAAGTTGTCCTCTGACATCTACACACATAGTGTGGTATGTATGCACAAGCACATACACACACACACACACACACACACACACACACACACACTAAATGAAATTTTGTTTATTTTTTTAAATACCAAATATTCTACCGAAGAATCCTATAACAAGCATAAATAAATAAAAGTGAAAAGTACTGCTCATAAGGTTGAAGACGACAGTGAGGAGGGAGGAAGCAACAAAAGGGCTGAGGCCACAGGTACGTGTGGAGATGTGAAATGCTTAGGAAACACATTGGTCAGGCATACAGTAAGGGATCACTATGCAGAGGAGAATTTGTCCAGAGCAGCTCAAGATCCCCATCGGAAAGCTGAGAAGGGAAGAAGATATGAAAGAAACTGCTAAAAGAGTCACGGAGTTTTTAAAAGGATAAGAGTTGAGATGAGTATTAGACAAAAGGGCTAAACTGACTTTAGCTTAATGGGAAATCCCAACACAATGTTTAGCAGTCAAAAGTCTGTCTCTGCCTAGTGAAGGAATTATACACACACCAAGCTCACTTGACTACATCCTTACCCCCTAGGATTCTCACTCCACCCCTGGCCATCCTATCTCAGGCACCCTAATGAGTTGTCTTCTCTACGAAGCACCAAACTGCTTCTCCCACACAAAAGATTGCTCTTGCAGTCTTCAAAGAGAAAGAAAGTTTGCCAAATAAGCAGAACACAGAGGCTAACCCTCTCCCAACCCTCTCAGTTCAACCAGAGAATCTTTGCTTCTGTTTTTCTTGGATACAATAATTCTTGTTTGAAGAAGGGGGAAGAACCCCACTGAAACAAAAGTCACTGCTCCAAAGGCTTTTCACCTCACTCAAGATCTAAAGACTTGGGAGGTGGCAGGATTAGAAACCCCACCAAGCCTAAAAAGGCTTGATTCTCATCTTACATGCAACTTTCTCAAAGTGGGTACTTCCTTGCATATTAGACTGTATAGTTTTTGTTGTTGTTGTTGTTGTTGTAGGGGAAGGTACTCTGTTCTATACAGTGCAGGACATTTAGTCCATCCCTAGACTCTACTCATTAGATGACTGTAGCATCCTCTCCACTGTTATGATAAACAACAACAACAACAAAAAAAATGTTGGCATACACTGGCTAATATCTCCTGAAGGTACAAAGTCCCCTGGGTTGAGAATGGCCATTTTCCAGTGAGGAACCACAGGAGGAAAATGGTTTGCCAAAGGATCTTTGCAGTGATAGGTTTGGAGTTATAAAATGGCTCACAAATTTTTGTGATTTCACAGGACAGTAAATATCTCACCAAGGACAGACATAAAGTTGCCACATTTTTACTTTGCCAAGAATTTTAAGCCAGGTGTTATTTAGGAGACTGAAGCAGTTCATGAGTTCAAAGCCAGTCTGGCCTACAGAGTGAAAATCAGCTTCAAAAACAACAGTGAAATAGTTTACCCCAAATCATAACTCATTAAAAGTTTGCTAAAAGGATCCCTAACAATATGGGGAAAACTCTTTGAATTAAACACATTCATGCTATAAATCATTTATATTCATCTTTCCTACTATTTATCTCTCCTTCCACTGAATACTGTGCCAGACTATCAACAGAGCATGAGCCATTTTGGAGAAACACAGTCCTGAAGACAACAGGAATCACAGCATTGCACTATTGAGCTCAGCTATCCCAAGGGGACTATAGAAAAGAAATCAAGGGGTCTGTTACCTGGATAAGAGTGGAAAAACTCACAGCTTTATTTCTCCTACCCTAACTGAAGTTAAAAGCCTTCTTTCCATTAAGCATAGGAGCAGTCAAGCCCTATGGCATCATTGTAATACTAAATATGAATTTCCCATATTTTCACTTTGTATTTAACCCCCCCCCCAGGTGAATCTCAAGGGAACTGACAAAAGTGACAAGCAGACCAGAAGGACTTCTGCAAAATTTCCTCAGGGACTTCCAGGGAATCTGAATTGTGATCGATTTAGTTTAGTGTGATTAAAATGCTGTCTCCATGTGTGGCCATCCGGATCTTCAGAACTCCAAGAAGGTAGAAAGAGATATAGCTCAGTGGTAGAACCCTTGTCTAACATTAACAAGGTGCCCTGAGTTCCATCCTAGCATAGGAAAGAACAAAAATGCAGAAGATAACTCTAAAGAAGATAAATTCATACTGCCAAAATCTTGGTAACCCCAAAGTCATCAGAACAGTTAATTCAGGAGCACAGAATTAAAAGATTAACAAATAGGAATGGGAGAGAGAAAAAGGACAGCCAGGTCCACATTCTTCATTATTCCATCCTGATCCCTAATAGAGCCTTAAATGATATTACTGGTACCTCAAGTAGAAAATTAAATGAAATGGTATTATTTTGTCACTGACTAGAGAATCTCTGTCCCAATCTCATCTTGCTAAAGAACAAAATCTGTCTTAACTGACAGTTAACAGGGTCTGATCCCTGGTCACTCTATGAATTTTTCCCCCATATGAAAAAGAAAAACGGAAACTAAAGCTACCTGATGAGGTTTTTTTTTATTGTTGTTGTTTTATTTAACAAAGAGGATAGAGGAATCAAAGAGAAATTCCACAAAAGCTTATAGAACAGGCTGTCAAACCACCGGAAAGAATTCACACAAAGCAGAAGCCTGTTGTGGACAATAAAAAACATAAAGTGAGCTACTCACCACATTTAATACTCTCTGTTCGCACAGGGAGGCCGGACTGTGCTGCAGCAATCAATTTCAGGGCAACATAAAACTGTGTAGGACCAAAATAACCAACCCGCTTTGCCCCACAGAGTTCTGTGATCTGAAACAGACAAGAAAAAAAAATGATGCTGAAAACCCCATTTCCTAACAGGAAAAATGGAGCAAAACTATGATGAAACCTCAAGAATTTCACAGTATAATTAACCAAAATGTCCCTTGGGAACCTACATGTAAGCAACGGTTGAGCTTTTGTTCCCCCTCTAGTTCATAGAGAGAGTTTTTATTCAGATCATTAATTCCTACCTACTCACAATGTTTCAGAACTGATTATTCCTCCTCCTCTGAAGACAAAAATAAAGATGACAAATGATGGCTGTTACTCTTCTTATAAAAGAAAAGGGGTGACTTTTCAGGGGGTAGATTCTAAAGTACAAAGTCTAGAAAGTCATTGGAGTGAAGAGAGAACAGATTAGTCATTACCACCACTTATGCATTATCCTAGCTTACCAAAGTTGACTATGAATTAGTCAAGAGCTGGGGAGGAAACTCAGTGGCAACACACTTACCTGTCATGCATGAAGACCTAGATTCAACCCGAGCTGAAGAGAAAAGTAATTATAAACCTTTGAAATTTACCTGTGGAGCGGGCCTCATCAGCCTGGGATTTCTCAATCCAAAAGACAGACTGGTTTTAGAAAGGTTTTGTTTTTATTTTCTTTGTTTTGTTCTGTTTGTTCATTAGGATTCAAAGAATTTTCTGGTTAAATTCTCCATGGAAAAGTTTTAAGGTGTTAGTAGAAATAGTTTAATGATATCTAAAGAAGAAAGTGATCTATCCAGCTACTTGATTAGCAGGAGGTATTTCATAAACCGGCTCCTTCACCCCTTTTCTTTAGTTTACTCCGAATGTGTAACATACTCTGCTGGATCCATCTGAGATTACATACTGTGCAGATTTCAAGTATAGAATGAAAACTTATGGCCTAAGGTTTGTTTTCTCAGGTGGAAAGCAGGAGATAGCAAAGAGGAATGGATGAAATAAACTTCCTTACAACTTACAGATGTACATTAACTAGATGTTGGATACAAATCAGAAAAACTCACTGGCCATTTGGGAGGAATATGAAGGAGGTTCTGGAAAGAGGTTGAAGGCCATTAAAATAGATTCCCTCCTACCTATTTCTTTAAGATTAAGTGACTGTGCCAAGTAACTAGTCCATACATGCTCCAGTTTGCCTGAAATAACACTTTCTTTCCTAGCTGAAAGGTAATAAATTCTTAGAATAGTTTAAAGGCTTGAATACACTTCTCTCTTTCAAGTATTTTTAAAAGCCTCTACAGAATGGTCTAAACATTTTTTAGTTTTTAGTAGGAGGGTCTAGAAGAACTCTCCAAGAAACTCTTCAGTCCATCCCCTCCCTTCTCTCTTCTGTAGCTGGTAAATTCAGACTCTGCTCTCAGATTAACCAGTTCAAGTCCTGCTCTAGATTGTGTGCCTTTATTCACCACTCTCAGGGTTCCCGCCACAGTTTGTTACTAGAACCAGGCCCCCTTACCGTTCCAAAGTGCTTCCCAGGCTCCTCCTGTCCTTCCTGTACAACCCAGTCCTGAGTATGGTATCTGAGGCCCTATTATCTGATCCAAAACACTCTTCCAACCATCCCTACCCTGCAGTAAACTAAGACTCCAGGCACACCAGACACTTAATCTGTTTCTTAATACCCATTCGGGAGTCCTCTACATAGAAGCCAAAAGTGCCTTTGTTTCTGTGCCTTCCAGGCTTGTTGTTCAAGTTACCCAATGACTGATATTAACTCTGAAACATTATGAAACTCCACAACACTATGTTAGACTTTTTATTGCTGTGATAAAATACCTGACACAAACAACTTAAGGGGTGGGGGAGGATTTCTTTCACTCAGCTTCAGTGATATCAGTCCATTATGGACAATGTATTAGGTAAAGAGGTATATCAGGCAGGCACAGGAGCTCACTTCCTGGCAAGGAAGAAGCAAAAGAAGGAGATACACTATTGGTGCTGTTAATCATTTCCATTGTACCCGTCCCATCTCGTCCTTCATGTCCCCAGTGCCCAGCAAAAGTCAATGGTGTGGTTTCATCATGGCTGTTCCCTAGAACTCATACTTCAGGATGTTTGCTCTACAGTTTTCTGCTCAGTGAATTGTATACGGGCTTAGTTTTCACAACCTGTAGAAACAGAACAGTTCTCTCTTGTGTTGTAATTACATTTATGAGTAGCTGCTAAATTATTAGCTTTAGCTATATCACATCATATAGCCAAGAGTTTCTATAAGAATAATATATTTTTTACAATTTATTTATTTTTTATTAGTTTATTCTCTTTGTATGCCAGCTGTAGCCCCCTCTCTCATCCGCTCCAACTTCCACTCTCTCTCCCTCTTCTCCCATGCCCCTCCCTCAGTCCACTGGTAGGGGTAGTCCTCCAACCCATCCATCTGACCCTAGCCTATCAGGTATCATCAGGACTGGCTGCATTGTCTTCCTCTGCGGCTTGGTAAGGCTGCACCTACCTGAAGGGGAGGTGATCAAAGAGCAGGCCAATCAGTTCATGTCAGACACAGTCCCTGCTCCCAATACAAGGGTACCCACTTGGACACTGAGCTGCTATGGGCTACATCTGTGCAGGGGTTCTAGGTTATCTCCATGAATGGTCCTTGGTTGGGGTATCAGTCTCAGAAAAGACCCCTGGGCCCAGATTTTTTTGGTTCTGTTGCTCTCCTTGTGGAGCTCCTGCCCCCTCCATGTTTTTCTATCTCCCCCTTCTTTCATAACATTCCCTGCACTCTGCCCAAATTTGGGCTATGAGTCTCAGTATCTGCTTTGATACCCTGCAGGGTAGAGTCTTTCAGAGGTCCTCTGTCATAGGCTCCTGTCCTGTTCCCTGTTTTCTCCCTCTTCCAATGTTGATCCCCTTTGTCTTTCTAGGTAAGGACTGATCATCTTATCCCTGATCCTCTTTCTTGTTTATCTTCTTTAGGTGTATAGATTTTAGTATGATTATCCTATATTATATGTCTAAAAGCCATTTATAAGTGCGTATATACCATGTGTGTCTTTCTGCTTCTGGGATACCTCACTCAGAATGATTTTTTCTAGTTCCCATCATTTGCATGCAAATTTCATGATTTACTTGTTTTTAATTGTTGTGTAGTATTCCATCGTATAAATGTATACAATGGTTACAATTTCTGTATCCATTCCTCAACTGAGGGACATCTGGGCTGTTTCCAGATTCTGGCTATTATGAATAAAGCTGCTATGAACATTGCTGAGTAAATGTCCTTGTTTTATATTTGAGCCTCTTTTGGATATGTGCCTAGGAGTGGTATAGCTAGATCTTGAGGGAGCACTATTCCTAATTGTCTGAGAAAGTGCCAGATTGATTTCCAAAGTGGTTGTACAAGTTTACATTCCCACCAGCAATGGAGGAGGGTTCCCCTTTCTGCACATCCTCTCCAGCATGTTTTATCACTTGAAGTTTTGATCTTAGCCATTCTGAGGAGTGTAAGTTGAACTCTCAGGGTTATTTTGATTTGCATTTCCTTGATAGCTAAGGATGTTGGGTATTTCTTTAAGTGTTTCTCTGCCATTCAATATTCCTCTATAGAGAATTCTCTGTTTAGCCCTGTACCACATTTTTTAATTGGATTACTTGATATGTTGGTGTTTAACTTCTTCAGTTCTTTATATATCCTGGATATTAGCCCTCTGTCAGATATAGGGTTTGTGAAGATCCTTTCCCAAAATATAGGCTATTGTTTTGTTCTGATAACAGTGTCCTTTGCTTTACAGAAGCTTTTTATTTTCATGAAGTCCCATTTATTGATTGTTGCTCTGTTGGTGTTCTCTTCAGGAAGTTGTCTCCTGTGCCAATGAGTTCAAGGCTCTTCCCCACTTTTTCTACTAACAGATTTAGTGTGTCTAGTTTTATGTTGAGGTATTTGATCCATTTAGACTTTAGTTTTGTGCAGGGTGATAAATATGGATCTATTTGCATGTTTCTGCATGTAGATATCCAGTTGGACCAGCACCATTTGTTGAAGATGCTCTTTTCAAGATGCTCTTTTACAAAACCATTGTATGGTTTTGGCTCCGTCTCCTGCTTATTCAGCTAGGAGAGTACTGGTCCAAACCTAACTGTTCACCATTCCTCATCTTAACCCTGAGATGCTACTCTAGAGACCTGCTTTCTTGTCTTCAGCATACCCTATTGGATGTCAATTGGCACACTCAACAACAAAAATATGGAAGAGAAGTTGAAGGATACATTCACAGGCTGTACCTCAGCCCATTTATACTTTCTAAAGTCACTTCAGTAAGCCACTCAAGAAAAGATGAACTCTTATATTGTGTTTCTCAATATGTCATACTGTAGTGTAAGCTAAAACCAAATCACCTCACTAAAAAAAAAAAAAAAAACAACAACAACAGATATGCAAGGCTTAGATGTGGTATCAGACAGCAGATCTTATTAATCTTTTTCTGTCTTTTACACATAGAAATATAATGTACATTAAATAACACTATAATATAATTTTCCCTAGCTATACAGAAATAAAGCTCCCAGGTCAAAAGTTAAGTGAGATATTCAAGGTCTCAAATTCAAAGACAGTATCAACTACATGTGAAGAGGCTAACGATTTGTATTTTGTTCATTATATCAGGGGAGAGAAAACTACTGCCCATGAGTCAATACCAGCCCACTTCCTGATTTAGCACACAAGCTAAAAATGCTCTTTACAGATGACCATTTCAAATACTAACTTAGAATATCGTTAAGGAAAATGTTATCCCTGTGACATTAATTCTATTCTTCTTACAAGTAGACATGAATTATTATTCTGTAGCGGTTTTGGCTGAGAATTCAGTTTTGTTGGTAGAGTTAGCGGTCTGCATGAAAAAGCCCTGGGTTAGATCCCCAGCGCCACATAAAACCATGTGTGGTGGCATGCCTATAGTCCCAGCATTCAGGAGATGGAAGCAAAAGGATCAGAAGCCTTCAAAATCATCTTGGGCTACACAAGGAGTCCAAGATTAATCTGTGCTAGATGAGAT